TTCATTCATTATTTGAACTTGGAAGGTGAGGGGGGTACCGAGGTAGTATTTTATGAAAATGTACACAAACTATAATTTTCCTTGCACTCTTCAGATTCAGAACTGTTTTTCCACTAAAACTGATAATCAGTTTGTATTTGTCGAGGGTAGAATACTACTGCTGCAAGTTAGGCATTGACTTTCCCTTGCAACGTAACCAACAAAATAGAAAATAGCGATGTGTGTTTGTTTTTGAAAACTTACTTTTACTGTCTATTCCATGAACGTGCCTGAAGTGAGTTGGCCGCACTAGCTGCATGGGAGGGGGTCAAAACAATTGATACCCATACAAATATAAAATCTTCTATCAAATGTTGCACTGAATATCAATAGTAAGTATCCTTGGGGGGCGGAGCTATATCACCGAACATTCTACGTTGCTGAGACACGCACCATGTATTTCTATGGACTTTTTGCAAGCTGCTGTGGATTGCCGGTTGAAGAGCTGGTGAAAAGAGCTAAAGTAGTGAAAACAAATTTATATATGTTGCATATGTAGGGGTTATCTTCTTCAGGGAAGTCTCAACAACAACTATCCCAAAGTACAGTTTCTGAGAGTTATCAGCCTTTTCACCGTGATGGTCGCCAGGCGGTGAAAATAACCGTATGTCCGTCCCTGAGAATAGAGCAGTATTTTAATTGGGGTTTGTTTACTTTGAAAATGCAGTTTTATTTTCTTTCTTAATTATAGTTACATTGGTAGAAAGATTATGGACAGTTCAAAGGAATCCTGGGTACGTGGTTCACACTATCTGGTGTGGCCGTATTATACGTATTGGACCCTCGGCTACATCATCAACCAGCAAGGAGCCAGAAAACTACTAGACGCCAATCCGCTACCGAAAATGGTTCCAGTAGATGAGTATCTGCCGATAATGTTTAACAAGCATCCTGAGTAAGTCTCCTGCAGTATTGCGTCAGTCTTTCCCAGCCCTTGTTGTTAACAGACTTGTTTATTAGTCCCCGTTCGGACGCAGTCCGAAAATGGGGACTTATGTTTTGACCTCCATGCGTGTGTGCATATGTGCGTGCGTTCAGACTTGTATCTTAGAAATGCCTGGACCAATCACGATCAAACTTCACACATACATCATATTATACATATGCACGTCAATTTGTTTCCGATCTGATTCAAGATGGCCGAATAGCGGCCATTTTTGTGCTGAAAATTATCAAAATCAAACATTTTTCGGCTGTTTACAGATGGATTTGTTCAAAATTGGTATATACATTAGACATTGATGCACATCATTTTGTTTTTCAGATAAGATTAAAAATGGCCAACTGGCGGCCATTTTGTTTTAATGAATGTGGTTCTCTCTGACTTGCTTTCACTGATTATGTTCAAATTTTAAATATTCATTATACATCATGTCATAGATAGACAGATATATTGATTTGACGATCCTATTCAAAATGGCCAAATGGTGGCCATTTTTGTGCTAAAAAATCATCAAATATCAAGCATTTCTGGCATTTCTGGATGGATTGCGTATAAACTTGGTACATATATTAGACATTACAGGTTCCTGATGCACATCATTTATTTTTCAGATCGGATTCAAAATGGCTGACTGGTGGCCATTTTGTTTTAATGATTGGGCTTCTGGAGCCATATCTCTTAAATGCTTTGACTGATGTTATTCAAATTTTATATATTTGTTATACATCATGTTATATATATACATGTATTCAAAATGGCTGATTTTGAATGCTGTTCCAGAGCAATATCTCTCAATATGGACAAGTACTTGTTTGATGATCAGATACAAATGTCAATCAATTTAATGTTAAAAAATCATATTCCTGACATGGTTATATTCCAGCTATATTACTATAAACAAAACTATTTATCTTAAATTTGATAACTAACGGGGACTGTGCCATGCATGGCTTGTTCACTGTCAATTTAGTTTCATAAGTTACACCATGTCATAATTTTTATGCATTTTTCTATAATTTTTTGTTCAATCAAATGAACACAAATTCATGTTGGCTGCAGGTTTAGTGAACATTCTTGAGAAATATTAGTTATTTGTTGTGAATTCCAAGAAAGTTTATTCTCCGAGAAATTATTTCCATGATGCACCAATTATAAATATGTCTGTCGCTATTTTTGTTTTTCTTTACTCATTTGTTTTTGTGAATCAAAAGTCATTCTGAATAATTAATCACATCGTGTAATGCGAAACAATATTGAAATAAACATTGTAGGAATTAGTTATTTGTCTATTAATTTAAATTGATAAATTGTTTCTATGACTTGTGGTTCATTTTATACAGTAGCCTAAATGTAACTTTTATGACTCAACATAAGGCAGTGATTTTGATACCACAGTAATTTTTAAATATTGTCATGACAATAAAACACAACTTTATAATCCTTTTCAGAGATGAATGGGCGAAGAATTTCTCTCCACGTAATGTGGTGGCTCTGTCCGCTGAGCCGCTACTTATAGAACCGACACACTACACAGGAGAACCCAATTATTTCAGCGACACTGAAGCATCAACATTATGGCTTGAAGAAAAATCGGAATCCTCACATGAAGAACTCTGATCCCGTTTTCTTGTTTTATTTTGTGGCTCAGTCACTATATCATGTCTTGCTGTTGGTTGTACATTGCACAACTTTCACAAAAGTACCTTGATTTTCTGTGTAAAGAAATTTTAACTGCTACGCAGATTTTTTTAACCTCTGTATTTGTTCTATTAGTAGCACATATACTTACTTCCTTACCCAACACACCGAATCGATAGATATTGATTAAAACTCTTGGGCATTATGCGATCTTTACCCCAGTTCAAAAATATGTTGCCCTTTTAAGAGCTGAAACTGGTATGTAAAGATGATGGGAAAACACTCGGAACAGCAGCCCAAACTGGGCACTACAGAATATTTAACAGACTTACAAAGTCAATCTAGAATACCCTTTTTAAACTGCTATTTTGACAGGACGAATACTCCTCGAAGATTCTATATCACCTCTGGTGGTCATGTAATTCCGTTTTTTAAAGTCACATTTTTATGGTCCAAGTGTTTTGTACAGATTGTTAGCTTTCTAGCATGGTGCTTATAATAAAAGAAATAATGTATGATCAACTTACAGAACTTTTTTGTAGAATATTTTTTCTTTTAAGTTTTATATTAAACCTGCATTTACCCTCTTCCTATGGTGCTAAAATTAAATGTTTATCTTTTTATATGAAATCTAAAGTTGTTTGCGTGATTCATTTTTCTAACATGCCTGGGAAAATAAACACTTCTACTGATGATCACAATCATTTTAATAGTCGAGAAGATTAGGTTGATTGTAAAATATAGAAGAAAGGTATATTTGCTGGATCACTCCTTCAGCGAAAATTCCAAGTGAAAATAAAGTCTTTTACAGTAATTGTGCTATGACTGTCTTGATTTGGCTTATGGAGTTCTAGAATTTATAAGGTATATACAAGTCAAAATGGCGACAACTCAGAATATGCAACAAATCAATGAACATTGTTTTTGAACAAACTAAGCTTAGCATATTCACGACTGAATCAACAATAAGTTTTATTTATTGTGTACAGTTCATGAGAAATTGTTTTGATGACCTAATTTAATGATCACTCAACATTTAATGTGGATGCATACATGTCAGAATCAATCGTCAACGTTTGGTCATGCTGAACAACAACTGAATGTTAAAGCAAAAGTTTATTCCATCAGAAAATAAAAAAAGATAATATAAAAAGGATAGTCTGGTAAGATTCACAGTTTTAGGAATGTCCTTCAGAGTACATTTTTATTTTAGGTGACTTCAGTCTAACAACACAGCATTTTTATTGTCTGCAGTTTTCGTGGCACACTTCCAGAGTTCTAAAGTCCCGCCATGTTGGCGGAATATTACCATTCAAATATTTACCGCAACGATGACAAGCCGTTGAGAACAATGTTGTATAACTATGCAACCAAGTCTAAAAAGAAACGATAAAAAAAAAAAATGTATTATTTATTATATTATTTATCGGTTTATTTATTTTTTATTTATTTGATGTAGGTCTTATGCGAATAAAATACATTGTTTACATTTTCACCACCAGTTCCCTCTTTTCATCACAAAATAGCCCTGTTTATAGTCCTTCAAAAGATTGGGACGAAAATAGCCAAAAACTAAAAATTGACTCAAATTTTGTATGTTGGCTCTAAAATTAGGGTTCATTTCCAGAAAATATTGAAAATTGAAGAAATCACCACGAAATTACCAAGTCTGAAAGAGGTCCACATGTAGTACCTATATATGTAATATAAAAACAATCGGACTTGCGGTTTTCAACAAGAAGTCGAAAATATCACTTTTTACCAAAAATTACCAAAATATTAAAATTAGAGCATTGAAGATATCATCATGAAATGAACGAAACTGAGAGAGGTCCACATGTAGTACCTATATATGTAATATCAAAGCAATGGGACTTGCTGTTTTTAACAAGAAGTCGAAAATATCACTTCAATTAGAGAATTGAAGATATCTACCCCAGGTACATACACAACAAGTATCAAAGCATTCAGGCTTGTAGTTTTCAAGAAGAAGTTGAAAAAATAAAACAGTGACACGGACGACGGACGCCGACGGACAATCACTCATATGATAAGCTCCGCTCGACAAAGTTTGGCTTGAACCATTGAATTGGATAGCTGCGTCTGAGTTGCTTGCACTTTTAATTTTAACTTTTTGAATGCTGAATTTTTTCTCGTCACACTTTTAGTGAAACATTTTCTAGTATTTTACAATAATTTGGACTTTTGAAAAAATCTTGAAAAAGTTTATTTTATGAAATGGAATTGAAAGTTTACTTTGGCTTCAAAGAGTTATATCAGTGGGACAATTCACAGCTAAATTTTCCCTGCCAAAATATTTCATTTGAATATTGACATAAATGCACCATAGAGTGTATTTCGGAATTGCTAAAATTTGTTTATGAAAATATACATAAACAGTTTGTCATCAGTATGAGATCTTACTAATACCAGTAATAACACTGATGTAACCATAGAACGTGGTGAAACAAATCAAATGAGAACATGTGCAGACAATACCAACATTTTTAGCCCCAATTAGATTACATGGCTGTGATTTTCGGTGATAATTTGTGAATCCAAAGAGAGTTTATAGCTTGAACAAGGTACTTGAGAAATTATTTCAATGCCCCAACAGTTATAACTACGTACTGTAAAATACTTTATTTTCGCTTGGAATTTATTTGTGCTGAAGGAATGATTCAGTGAAAATAAAATCTAGCGAAAATACCTTTTTTCATACAAAACACCCAGAACATCTTTTCAGCAAAAATTTATTCCAGCTAAAATAAAGTATTTTACAGTATGTTGCTATTTTGCTGAATCAACGTCCTCATGTATAATTCATTACATGACACTGATAGTAACGTCATTTGAAACAAATGAGTAAATGGAAATTACCATAAACGACCTGATTCCTATTTCTGGTAAGTGTGGTAAGTGGTAGTGCAGCATTGCAGCCATGGCATGATCTGTTAACTGCAAAAAAATTAATACAAATTATTTACCGCACATATTACAGAATGTCATGACGTCTGTTCCTTAGAGGTCACATTAGAGTACCATATTGCTCTATCAGTAGTGCATGTGCTATGACATGTGTGTTTGTGGTTAAAACAAGACATATTGATAATCTAATATACAATAAATGCAACTGTAGATTAAAGATGCAATAAAATACAGCAAATATATTATTTTCATATTGAACTCAATTTGACAACATTCGTTGTAAATCAAAAAACGATCATCATCCTAGATTTTGCACTGAAATAAATTTATTCAATCTTGAAGCGAGAGGGTCATCACTCGGTAATTGAGTCCCAAGCGATGATAACAACACACGCTAAAAACGCAAAGGCTCAAGGGTAGATGCTTGTTTGTAAACAATGACATTTTATGGCCATCTGACTCATGCGCACTTTAAATGATTGAGAATGTTAATATACTGTTCTGGACAATTGGCTCTGATCTCAGGTAAAACAAAATCTTCTACCAAAACGAGAGGAACATGGCGGAGAATGAAAATGCGGACATTGATTTGTGAGCACGTACCTTTTGAAATACTCGATACTTTGAAGGTGTCCACAGGTCCAGCTAGAATTATTGAACACAATTCTATGTTAATATCAAATAATGTCTGGTTGGTTGAAAAATTAATGTAATAATTAGAAAAAGTTTAGAAAATGTATGAATTCTTGTACTCTTTGATTGTTTGACAATTATCTGAATTTACCATTTCTCACCACACACAAATTTGAATCATATGCAAATTACTTTTCATATAAGGCAAAACAAGTTACATCATATGCAAACTATATGCAAAGTACTCATATAAGGCAAATAAGTTTTAACACTCACTCACCGTGCCATTGTCTTTGTGCAAGTTTTCATGATAACCACGTACTATCACTCTTTCTATTAGAAGCCCTCGAAGAATGACGATGGCGCTCAACGTCCTACCAACAGTAGCCTACAAGTAAGTAACATAGAACGGTCAATTATGTTGCCTAATTTAAGAAACAAGTCATGACATGTTACAAATGCTGTAACGGTACTTGTACATAGGAGTACTTTTGCACAAAATGTCCAATATTTTAAAACAAAATGGCTGCCAGTTAGCCATTTGAAATTTGACTTGTGAAACAAAATGCTGTGCACATGATGATGTTCTATGCATGAATCAAGTTTGAAAGCATATATGTTCAACATGATGTATGTGTGAAGTTTCATTGTATTGTATTGGTATGTTTGTATTGTTAAAGCGGGGGGAGTCGTCACTTGTGCAAGCGTCAGATGGCCATAGCGTGTCATTGTTTACAAACAAGCGTCTACCCAAGAGCCTTGCGTTTTTAGCGCGTGTTGTTATCGTCGCTTGGGACTCAATTCCCGCACGTACGCAGGTGACGATACTCTCGCTTTAAATAACACACCACCTGCTGAAAGCATCCATGGTTAGCCAAAATAAATTTTAAAAAAATGATGTCAATGGGTGATGTGTTAATAGAAGAAATAAATTATAGACGAGTCAACAACTAGAAAAACCAATCAAAACCAGACATACAGATGCATGATGTAGTAGACTTATTACACATGCAACATACATTATATTCAAATGAACAGAGCTAAAGACAAAACAGGTCATGTAAGGTCAGAAGTTGAAGTTGAAGATTCCATTGACGATGGGGAAATGTAATGTGAAATACTTTATTTTAGCTGGAATTAATTTTCGCCGAAAAGTCTTTTTGGGTGTTTTGAATGGAATTTATTTTCACTGACTTTTGATGAGTTGAATTCAAAATATAGGAACAACAGTATATTCACTAGGTTTTATTTTCACTGAATCATTCCTTCAGCGAAAACAGCGAAAGTAAATTCCCAGGGAAAATAAAGTATTTTACAGTAGGAAGAAAACTATATTGATTGACAGTATTGTCATATACCTGGAGTACGGCTCCTGTTCCTTGTGGCCTGTTGACTGTAAGTGATAGATCGTTAAATGATCTGTCTACAGTGGTGACTACATTGTCTACAAGACTGAAAAAAAGAAGTGAACATCAATATCAGTGTAAAATGGACTGTGTTAACCTCAAATTGTATATTTTCGACCAGCAGTATGAGAGAAAGATCCTCAATATGGTTGGTTCTGTTTATGATAAAGACTAGGTTATTACACAGAAAATACTTATAATGAGCTAGTCAGAGTCCTTACTGTGCTGGTGTAGCATGACATGTCGGCTGAGTTTTCCTCCTTTTTGCAGATAACCCTCCTGATGGTACGGATGTCCTCTTCAAGGAATTCTGTGTTAACATGGCGCCTGCGAGGCTAGCATGGCTTTGTAACTTTGGGAAAGAACGTGGAAATGGGCAAATTAGGCTGTGCGTTATATGCCTTGATTTGATTCAAAACTCAACAACACCAAAGTTACTGAAGATTAGATTAAATCAACGATATAGTAGACTATTACGTAAAAAAGCAAACATTGTGCGTTGCGAAATCGTAGCTTGGTGGTTGGGTAATAAATTGTTACGGGTAATTACCATTGGTGAAAGCTACACATTTCTGGTCAGTGTAATTCATGCATGACAATTTGATGTTGATTAGTCTGGTGAAAAACAATGAGATCACAAAATGATCGTACAGTACCTTGGTGGACCACTTATAAGATTGCAGAAGCTGTGTGTACATGGGTGTTTTGTCTTGTACTGGATCTAAGCTGAGTAAACCACTATTGCCCATGGGAATTCCATCAGTGAATTTATGAAGGGACGAGCTCAGCTTCTCTAATTCACTGAAATAAAGTAAAAACATGAATGAATCTATTGTTTGATTTTTACTGGACAGAAGCTAAGAGACAGTGATTCAGATGCCCGTTGGACATCAGCAACTTGCTGGTATTTTTTTATAATGTCCTAATTGCATTTAATCATTATAAACAAAAAGCTTAAGTGTTTTAGACTAATAATTATATGTTTTTCAATATATATAACATGGTGATTTTACAAATGATGAAATATTTTCAAAAAATGGGAAAAAAAACAACTATAAAGGCCAGACTTTTATTATCCCTTGTTTCGCGAACCCGCCAAATGAACAAGAGCTGAAAATGAAATAAAAATAAAATGTTATTTCAGCGTAATTTCTCGCGCCCGCCGACTTGTAAGCACAGAAAATTGCTTATTTTTATCTTCAGTTTTTTACCGCCAGCCGCATAACAAATCCAAGTTGCATTTTCATGGCAGTATCATGATCAAAGTACCGAAGTCTCACGCAGATGAGAAAGAAGGTTATACATGGAATAAAAGTTTATTTCATTTCTTTTCTCCGATCAATGATCTCACTTACAATTCTTTGAGAATCACACAAATCTAATGGAAAAAAAGAATTAATTTTATTTTTTCCCCGTCCTCCCTGCCTTATAAAAACTCGAGAAACAAGGAATAAAAAAAGTCTGACTTAATAAAAGAGAAATATTGAGTCAAAATTCTTATTATAATTAGGATGTAGTTTGACATTAAAGGTACTTGCTTTAAATATATAGTATAGTATTTTTGTTTTCTAACCTTGGGCATTTTTTGTTCTTCAAAACTTGGACAGTTTGTTTGAAATGTACTCCTGCCAGTTTTTACAATTTTTTTGACAGTGATCAAAATATGAAACTGGAGCCACAAAACCACAGGTTGATAGATGGTATGTGTACAGTACTGTGTTATAGCCACTTTGCCAAAACAGCACTGTACTCGTGGCTCATACTTAATATTACAGTTCAGCGGTGCATAGGATTAGTTGAAAGTTTTGAAACCAGCTCTAAAAAACATCAAGATTTAAAAACAAAAACATTTTTTCAACCAATCAGAGGCACTCTTATGAAAAATGACTCTGGCAGGACAAAGTGATGAAACTTTAGGATAAAACATATTTGTTACTGGTAGTGAATATTTGTAATTAGTTATGTTATTTTTATCAGCTTTGGTCGTTTGCTTTTGAAATTGAAGTTATATTCCCACTATGAAAATCTGTGAGATACCATCCCCTCACTAATTTGAGGTATTTCAGCCTGAGTAAACTTAGAAATAAATTAACTGTTGACAGTCTAATTGGGAATATAAACTCTCCAATACTCTCAAAATGAAATGTGTGGAAAGGTGAATGAAAAATATTTTTATATATATATATATTTCAGAGATATTTAACACATTTACAAAGTGGAAATCCAACTTTTAAACAACAATAGACAAATAGACAAATGATCCGGAAATACCTGAAGTCGGAGGTAACAGCTGTGAGGGCTTCCTGAAGTTGCCTAATGAACATACTTTCTTTACTGACTTCTCCCTTTGTACTTTTCACTCCTTCCCTCAAATGGGTGAATACTCGAGTGACGCTGCATCGCAATTTTTGTGTCGCTGCAAGAGCTGAATTCACTGTTTCTAAATTTTCCGCCATCTTTGAATTGAACCCCTATCTTCATAAACTTTTGCGAAGTTGAGGGTTTCTTTTTGACGAAGCTAAATACTCTTGTCAGCGCCCTCTTGTGGTCATATGCTCTTTTCATTGTTTTTATCCATTCGTCATTGCTATGACGAGTTCATTTTTCTTTTATTTCATAATAAATTACGTGTCCTCTAAGGACACACCCACAAAATAGAGAAGTACAGATGTACTAGTAAATAATATGTGCCGTGCTTAATCTACGGATACAACTATTTTTTAAACCCCTTCTAACCATAGCACCGCTAGCAAACTATTAAGGTAATTTTACCAATATACTGAAATTGTGTTCCAGATGTTTTCACCAATGAAATAGAATGACATTTTTTCCCAGTGACTTCGCCAATGAATTAGAATGACGTAATCCACTTGTAATTAGGGCATAAGCTCACAAATATTGGAAAACAATAAGTGCAAGATAAAATCATTCTGCAAACATTTGATCCTACCATTACAGACCTCACGACCATCTTGATTTTTGCCAATTTTTAACAAACTTGCTGCACTATTTAAACATAGACCCTATATAACTATCATTATACAAATAATTTGTACAAATAAACGCTTTCAATGTGTGGTTAATATCACAGCAATTAAGACCAAATTGCATACAAGAATGAATTTGTGAATATAGTTTTATCAGAAATAAACCTCGATACTCAAACACAGGTTACCATGGAAACAGATGAATTTTATATTTTCAATAAATGTTCTCATCAATGTTTAAAGCAATACTGTAATAGAACCCAAAACGTCAATTTAACGTGGGCGCTGTAATAATAGCGGTTCTGGGGTTGCTGTAAACATGTTGCTTTCAGACACAGTCAGCTGGCGCACAAATGATAATAAAATAAATGCGATATTTACCATATAGAGGCCGCCATCTTGAATGTATCATAAAACTAAATAAAAGACAAGCTGTGAATTGCGTTTTCAGATTTCTACAAATCAAGACAAAAATGCCAATCTTTCACAGAAATACGATCCGTACAAAACAAAAACGACGAATTCGGCCTATTTTTGTCATCGGTTGGCTTAATATTACCCCCAACGGATAGTATTTGAGTAGAACGTTTTAAAATTGTAATCCCAGTTGTCAGCCCACATTTTTGAACCGTGGGTTATATGATGAGCGTCAGCTGATATTTGCTTCTTAACCTTTCTTTGTATTTTCCGTTATAAACAAATGTTTGTCGCCTGTTGTTTCGTTTCTAAAAAACAGTTTCTATGTGCCATCCATACACTTATGACGTAATAGTAATAATATAAAACACTACGTGTGCAATCTATGCTGTTTGTAGTTCCATAGTTACCGTATTACTATCTGTATTTTATATCACATATACCAGTGACAATGAAACACAGCATTATTCACAGTGTAAGTGTCTTGCATCTATTGCTTATATTGTTTAACAGCCCTGGCAAGCTAGTCTATCAACTTCTTTTTTTAATCAGGACCCTGGTATTTGAAATGCCAAATAATGGCCATGCTCACGTGGCACGTGGCTCACACGCACGTGTAAGAGTGTTCGTTTTCAAGCACGTTCTCACCACGGTTACTAAAACCGTGTTCTCACGTAACATCACATCCTTTCGACATACGTGAAAATGCTTGTTATATATATATATATTCTCGCTGATTTTAGCATGTTCTCACGAGAAGTTAAACGACTAAACACCACATCATTTCTACGTACGTGAGAATGATTTTTTCGACTATGTTCTTACGTAAATTTTAACAATGAAAAAATTAATCCAAAAATTAAAAGCGTATTCTCACGTAACATCGCATTATTTCTACGTACGTGAGAATGATTGTCTTTTAGTATGCATGAAAAAAAAAACTGTAAGAGTTCGCACGCGTTTCAGTTTTTTAAACTCACGTGAAATTAATAACTATTCTAATACACACGCGACAACATTGACAATAGCTGGTTTCCGGTTCAATTCACGTACGCGATAAAGAAGTAAAAATGGACCACCATTTGTCATATAAATAACACTCGTGCACATTATTTGTGGGATTTTATAACACTGTACCTACATGAAGCATACCAAAACCATCGGGCTGGTAGCTTTCAAGGAAATATCGTTTTTTTTTTTTCCCAACAAATTTTGGACGGTGCTAAAAACGAAGAATTCATGATAGGAACCCGAAATGAACAAATCGGATATAGGTCTACTCAAGGTACATACAATTTAAACATGGTTATTTCTGTAGTTTTTTTCTTTCTGTCACTTGGTCTCTCAAAATAGCTTTAGAAATACATATATCAGCGCTTGCCAAAAGAAAAAAAAAACATAAATATCATTAACTTACAGCTTTGAAAGCCAGACAATTGTTAGATATTGAAAAAAAATCACTATTTTAAACTAATAATAATAATAATTTTATTAACACTTACACATTCCCCGGAGGGATTGGCAATGGTTACAAAAGTTTAAGAAGGAATAAAAGGTTACAAAACAGTAAATAGATGAAAAAACAAACAAAAAAAACAAAAACAATCTAAGCTAATACATTACAGATAATAGCAAGTATAAAATTATGATACTACGATAGATAGAAAACAAAATGCAAAACTCAAATAGTGAAAGAAGGTTGTCACTGGGGTTGCTGTCTTATCTCAAAACACTTCTTTAGGTACCTTGCTACGGAGAGTGTTAGGCCACTGTTGTTTAGCAAGGCTATGAATTGTGTCTTTTGGGCGGTGAGGGCGCTCTGTCGTTGGACGAGATGGTTTGGAGCGAGGAGGTGGCCGCCAGCTATTGTTTCTTCCATTCTTCTCTTTATAGTGGTAATTATGCTCCCGATGCTGGTTTTCAGATGTGTTGCCTGGTGTAGAAGTAGTGACATTACGATGTTACATTTTCGACATTACATTTCGATGTTTGTTTTTTTTAAACTAATGACACGTTTTGCAAATAGTGAACTCGAGTGTAGTGTTGTTTTAGAAAACTGCATTTTATGAAGTTTGTGAAAAACAAAAACAAAGACGCGATCTGAAAAATAAATCTGAGCCCCATTCTGAATGCACGAAATAAAGTTCCAAATTTTGATAAAGAAAACAGTCAGAATAAATTCATATTGATTATGGGAAACCATACTCTAGCACCAGCCTTAGCTGTCTTCTTAAAAAAACAGCTATGGAACAAAACAGCAACAATCAGTGTATTAGGTTACAATTTGTGATCAATCTATATTCTGCATTCACCATTAGTTGGATTGTCAACTAGTACTTGCAAAAGTTGTTTTATGATAATCTTAGTTAGTTTGTTATAAATTATCAGTTATTACAAGTCCTTCCAACGTTATTATAAACATGTCACCATAGCGGCTGTGGTTTGCGGAGTGACTGTGACCCGTGAGCACATTTACCCATTACGTAATCCATCGGTTACGTCACGGTATCTACCTGCAAATATTGCTGAAGACAAAAATTACTACCAAAGAATAAACATCAAATAACATTAATTAATTTTACTTTGTGTTTTTTATCTCGTCCGAGAAACACGATATGAGGACAATAACTTGAAAGAACTGGTTTCAGTGACAATGTAAAACCATTTATTTTCACTGACATTTAATTTCACTATTTTGATGTTTTGAGCATTTTCACGAATTTGTCAAGGAAACGACGAGTTATTATTACATCACAGTACCTCTGCTGAGAGACTGTGCTTACATGTTCATGTAGATTTAATTTAGCGGATTTTACTTATCAGCAAAAACAGCGAAAGTTGCCGGTAAACTTTTATTGTAGATAGCTTTTCTCGGAGAATAACTTTCAAATTTAAAGTTGAATTCCCAAGTTGTATGATCTGTAGAAAACCTCTTACAGATCACTGTTATCATAAAGAATTTGGATTGTGTACATTTCCATATCCGGGACTAACATAATCCTAAAATCAATTTAGAAGAACCTTGAGTACGGTTAGTAACCGTGCCTTGAATGATTACAGCAATAGGGATTATGGTCGGTTTGGTGATTACTATTTAGACTCCACGAGCTTAGTTGCCATACCAACTAATTTTCTCATTTTTCATGGTGACCCCTAACAATCAGTGGGATGTGTTCTGTATATGATAGGAAGTGGGAATGCAACTTAATATACTCTTCAGTCATGTTTTATGGGAAATAAATAACCATTTTGAAATTATTTCAAAATCTGGGGTTTTTGAAAGTGAAAAAAATGGTTCTTTTACCTTACAATTAAGTTGTATTCCATCATTTTTCATGGTTTTATTTTTAAAGTAGCAATCTTTGAATAATAGTTGGCCAGTTTTCTCAAAATGAGGAGTGGTCGCAAAAATAGTATTTAAAAAAATACAATGGGACTAATTAGCAAGTCCTAGCTTTTTATGTTTTTGAAACATGTGATATATTTTACTTGTTTAAGATGAAAAACTACTGGTATCATAAACTCGATTGCAACTCTATTGTCTATGATGTAACTGCGATGCCCCCCCCCCCCCCCTAACAAAGCAAACGCATGTTGCACGGCAGCTGTGTCGGGTGTTTCACTTGTGTCATGAACTTTGACAACAGTCAAAATGTGAACCAATCAAATCCACCCTTTGTCACGTTGCGACCCGTAACCTCGTTTTCATTTACCATCCTCCCTTAATGGCGCATGCGTACATTCGGTGATTTCGAAAAACGAGACCGGCAAATTATTTGACGAAAATCGTCGATAATTTTATGGGAATACTTGATACATATTTGTGGATATTCAGCCCGCGATTGTTAATTCTTCTAATTTCAACTGTTGGGGATGGTATCAGTGAAGCCCTCGGGACATTATGTCCACGAACTTTCCACAGATGACGAGGAACGACTAAACGGTCTGTTTCAGCAGCTTGACGTGGACGGAGATGGGAAGATCGACGTTCACGATTTGACGAAGGGCCTCAAAAAACTTGGGGTCCATCAGACTCCAGGTCAGGCACAGGTAAATTTGTTTTCATATCTACGATAAACCAACAAGTACTTTGAAACCACAAGTACAGCGTACATCGTTCATATATTTCGATTTTTTTAAAAATTATGTCAATGACAATGAGCCCTTTTTTTCTGTCCCGCTCGCATCTTCACCTGCCTTAGTTTTGACAGATCTCAGACTAGCATTATTAGTCTGAGGACAAGTGTATCACTTTCACGTGAAAATTATTGTTTTGTAATTTCTCCAGGATATTTGATTAAAATTCGCCATTTCTAGTTTCATTACATTATTACGACCGACTCTTCCTGGTTTTGACATCGTCCGTGATTCGTGTCATTTCCGGTAAGGGAGTTCACTAAGTTGTCGTAAACAGACTGCGTCACAAACTGACGGGGACTTCTATGTTTGTGTGGTACTAGTTCAAACGCTAGTTCATTGAGTGAATTTGTTCCCAAAATAGTTGAAAAGACATTGTAAACATTGTCATCATAATCTCGTCTTTTTGTGTTCTATTCACCAGAAACTTAAACTAACACAGACGTGATTTTATTACTAAAGTTAGATTTTGTTGAAATTTAAATGGTACTAAGTTTATCAGCAGACGACTGTTCAAAACCAAGTTGACTTACTAACCCACAGGTTGTCCAACTCAGTTTTCCAAAAGGTAACCTCAAACACCCTATTTTGCATATGAATATAACAAATAGCATAAATTTTGACATTATTATTTCAATTATGATGACCAGTGTTGGTCTACAAATTTATTTCAAGGTAATGTAAAACTCATTTACAATCTTCAGTTCATTGACCTGTGAGCAATTTATTGATAGTCTGACAACTAGTTATGTCATCGCGACTCCATGTCAAAATGAACACCAGTTGTATTTTCACTGCTACAATAATTCGCAACTCATTTGCAAAATTTTACAGTAATTCGTAATCAATACCTATGGCGACATCAACAATAATAATGATGCAATAATATTTTCGTTGATGGATTGGGTTTGTTTCAGGTCATAGGTGGAGTGCACACTGTGCTAGGTACATGATGTACAGGCAATTGCTATCTAATCTTACCCTGTCTGCTGATGTTTATATATTTATTTGTCTGACTGTGTTCATAAGTTTTGATTTGGTATTAGCAAATTGTGGAACTTAGAATGAAGTACCTATAGTTCCACTAACAAAAAAAAAACATTCCTAGAAAATTATTAAATTAATTATTAATTAATATGTTATTGAATCTAAAATTTAAGGTCAACTGATACCTGATTAACTCCAGTAGTTGATACTGATTGATTTGAAAGAAATCCTCTTTTCATTTTTTTTATCAACAGCTTCAACTTTTCTGTATAATCCGCCTTGATTTCTGGCCTGCGTTAGTGCTGCCTGTTGGTTGTAAAGCAAATATAGCATTATAATTATGTGGCTAATTATTTATTATATAGCAAACATTCATATGTATTCACCCCAGATTTACAAAACTTAATGCTAATACAGGATCCCTTTAACACATTGACAGCTGATGAATGGTCGCTATCAGTGCGCCCTCTAAGCTAGTATGATGTGTCACTGATGTAACTAGTTCTGCCTAGTCTCTGTGCGTCATTGCTGTAACAACAAACATACATCAACACATATAGCTTGAAAAACATCTTGTTTTTGTTAGGGAATTTGTAATTTGGTGAAATAAAATTTACATTTTATAAACAAAATAAATGTAAATTTGAAAGAAATCTGGGGCCACATCATTTTAGTGTGTGTGCCTTTAGAAGTCACCTACAGCCTTGTATACGTTCAATGTACAGTTATGAGACTTCGCTCCTCAGCAGTCAACAAGCTGACCCAATTTAAATTATGGGATTTCATATTGATTCATGACTTCAAAAAAATCAATCCTGTTAAAGAATACGCAGGTATGGAGAAAAATGTGTGTGGCTGTCAAATTATGCATTTTCTTGTATGAAGCCCTCTGGTTATTAGGTAGTATGTCAGAAACATTAATCTTCTAGGAAACGCAGTAATCTGTGTAATGATGTGGATTTAGTAAATTTTTGTGTATGGTTCTGTTACTAATTGGGAAATATATGTTACATATTTCTTATTTTAGTTCCTCTATCAGCTGTTACTACTCTTTATAGAGTTTATTTGTCATTTTGCTTGCTGGCTACATTGTGTAGGATTCTGTTGATGGTGTATGGTCTGCTTAACACTTTGCCTTCTTTTTTTTTTCTCCACTAATTTTGGTGGTATATTTGTGGAGGCTTTCAGTAGCCAATGACCAACATTTCCCTCTTTTCATCACAAATTCACAAAATCGTATTGTTTACAGCCTGCATTTTCCTTTCGAAGATTAGGACAAAAATAGCCAAATGTTTTGAGTAAAAACTGAAAATTGACTCAAATTTTGTTTGTTGGTACCAAAATTAGGGCTCATTTCCAGAAATATTGAAGAATTATTAAAAAAAAAGTGCCGAATAATTTAGGTGAGAAAATCTGGTGGTGAAAAGGTTAAAGGAAGACTACCACATAGTTGACAAGTTCTGTAACTTACACGTTCATCCCCAATATAAACTTTCTGTGGTATGTGTATGTAAGTGTCAACATTACTTGTGGAATTATGTAACAGCTGATTAATATATCAATCTACGGTACTTTTAAAAATAGTACCGTACACCAATTACCATATCAGTACATGCAGTAATGATGTAATACCAATATAACTGAACCTTAACCCTAATTCTGCCAGATTCATGTACTTTTACATTGACTTGACTAGATAAGGGTTGAAAGAAAAGTCCAATATGATGATTTTTATGCTGTTATTTAAAGTTTTTAACGCATTACTTGCTGAGAGCCTCAAGGGATACCAAAGTAAATGAAAAACAACAGTGTCCGCAGATGTTACACCTGTTTTGGGTGCATATTTGTTGTTAATACTTACATAAGCAAGTACATGTACACATGTGTTTCCAAGTGCATTATTATGGTTATCATTGTTGACTTAATTATATAATAATGAATAGTTAATTTAATACTAAATGCAAAAAAATGAGTCTGAGAATTGCCTGCATGCGACTGTACATGCTTGGTTTCACTACATTCATTCATTTATTTATTTATTTTTGTCATTTATTGTAAGCCAGCACACAAAGGTGCCTTTGATGCTTGTGCCAGTACATGTAGTACATTTCCTATTATTTAATAGTCCCAGCTACTTGTCCTAATCTATCTTTGTATTAAGTTCTTCTCAAGTAGTATATGATAATTACTATTGCAATAGGTAAGTGCCCTGTAAATGAGAACCTTGCTCTAACAAGGCGTGAATACATGTATAAAGGTCACTGGATAATGTGTACAATGGCGCTTTCTGGCAGTCTATGTTTTGGTTGACCATACATTTCTGTCTGCTGTGCACATTGAGCAATAACATTTCTGCGCCGTGAAATTCTCATAATATGAGGTTATTACAAGAATACCTCAAAGTATGCACGAAGACAGCTGGAGTATCGACCGATGTGCAGCGGAGGCGTACTGTACTGTCTGAGGTATTCTCGTAATAACCTTATTATTGTACATCTTTTCCTTCCAAGGATACATCATGGGAATGCCGAAATCCAAAAAGTTTAGAACAGAATCGGCAACCTTCTTTGTGTGGAGTCTGGTCAAATTCTGATAGTAGCCATGTTTGTTTTTATTATAAGACGCTTATGCGCATCATCATTTCATATTTGGAATTCACATTTCCTTATATAGTAGGATTAAAATACCCTGTAAAATACCTTAAAATTATGGCCTGCTGTAACTTATGGCGTTACGATGACAGATGTATACATGTAATAATATACTGTAATACAAACATATAAACTTGTTGAAACCAAGAATCAAACTTTGAGTTTAACAACCTTTACATTTCAATATATCAAATTAAACTGCCTGAAAATTTGACACCTATTGCGAGTACCTACTTTGCAATAACATAAATACATTTTGACAGTGATACTGATATTTAGTTCAGTACGTCACTACACTTACAACACTCGTAAATTGTAGCTGGTGCTGCCCCTTCCAAGGTGGGTTAAAATCTCCTATATTTAAGGTACTTTATGTCGTCTCAACAGGTTTACATTGTTTTTTTTACCTCCGCTGTCGACTTTGCCGAGCGGAGCTTATCATATGAGTGATTGTCCGTCGTCGTCCGTGTCAATGTTTTACTTTTTCGACTTCTTCTTAAAAACTACAAGCCTGAATGCTTTGATACTTGGTGTATATGTACCTTGGGTAGACCTCTCTCAGATTTGTTCATTTCATGATCATATCTTCACTTCTCTAATTTTGGTGAATATTTTTGTCGTTTTTGGTAAAAGTGATATTTTCGACTTCTTGTTAAAAACCGCAAGTCCAATTGCTTTGATATTACATATTTAGGTACTACGTGTGGACCTCTCTCAGATTTGTTCATTTTGTAATGATATCTTTAATTCTCTAATTTTGGTGAATATTTTTGTCATTTTTGGTAAAAAGTGATATTTTCGACTTCTTGTTGAAAACCGCAAGTCCAATTGCTTTGATATTTACATATATAGGTACTACATGTCGACCTCTCTCAGATTTGTTCATTTTGTAATGATATCTTCAATTCTCTAATTTTGGTGAATATTTTTGTCGTTTTTGGTAAAAAGTGATATTTTCAACTTCTTGTTAAAAACCACAAGTCCAATTGCTTTGATATTACATATATAGGTACTACATGTGGACCTCTCTCAGATTTGTTCATTTTGTAATGATATCTTCAATTCTCTAATTTGGGTGAATATGTTTGTCATTTTTGGTAAAAAGTGATATTTTCTTCTTGTTAAAAACCACAATCATTTATGGTGAAAAATGATATTTTTGAATTCTTGTTGAAAACAGCAAGTCCCATTGCATTGATACTATGCATATTGTTCATTTTTTAATCATATCTTCTGTTCTTTAATTGAAATGTGCAATGCTAACAGCGGAGCTATCTCAGCCGAGAGGCTGCTTGTTTAATACAGGTACACACTATTGTTGACATGATATATGGTTACTGTGTGTTACATTATTTTAGCAGAATCCAAGTGAAAACAAAGTATTGTACAGTCCATTATTTTCAGGTCACCACTAAATTGACATTTGTTACTCACGGTTTGTGTTTCTCTCATAATAAAGCAATATTTCAATAATCATGGAGCTAACTAAGGAGTTAGAAATAGGTAAATGAATTGATAATAAAGTCAGTTTTAGAGAAATAAGTGTTTTGACATTAGGTTTAGGGTTTACAATGATGTACTGTATACATGTATCTACTTCTTCGATAGTATTTACAACTGAGTGTGGTTTACATGTGTTTGAATTAGGAACAAGAGTAGACTAATAATTTACCAATAGTTGCCTTGTTATAATACTTTATAATGGGTGCTTAGTATGGCATATTTGTAATAATCTGGGCGGATTGATGCTACTAAGACAGAAATTCTTCTCATTATTTGCTTTTTCTTGTTCTTTTTTCCCCATCGATTTTTTTGAGCAAGGGAATAATTTTGTAACAAATAAACACGAATTTGCCAACATGAGCCATTATTGGATCGTATATAAACCCGAAAGGTCTGGTCGCCTGGCGATCAACTTTCTGGTGGCTTGTACGATGGGAAAAAAATTCTTCTGTATTTTGACTCAAACTACACATTTTCGATCTGTTCCGTATTCTGTCAAATGGTCATATTTGCTACGTTCACACGACAGTATCGGAGCCCAACAGCTCGAAGCGGCTCGAGCCATCAAAAATGGCTGTGTAAACGCGTTCGGCTTGAGCCGCCTCGAGCCAAGTTCGGCTCCACTCCGATAGGGTTGAGTCCAGATATTGCTCCGATTGTGTAAATGCATCGGGCCCAACTATCGGAGCCGAAATCACGCCCTCAATCGTCTTCTACGAGTAACCTCTCATTTTAATTATGGCAGAGACAACATCTTTCGTAATTTTACGCAATTTCCGGCTTAACGAAGAGGTACGCGTCCTAATAAATTGTAACGAATTATTGCGATAGATTGATAGCTCAGTGGGAAAAAATGGCGTACGAAATTATGCGACAAAAACTTGAAAGAACGACTGAATGGAAACTTTTTAAAGACACTAAAGATAACAATCGTAGAAGCGATTGCGGTACGGTGACGTGTTCCTGGTAGGTTTAGATTCTTTAGATTAGAGAGAATCTGAGATTCTTCCTAGTAGTTTAGATATCACTATAGTTGAATAGTTACAAAATGGTAATTTTGCATGACAATAACTTGAACGAATAGGCTGTATTAAACATATTTTAACTGCCGTGTTTCCTGTTTATTCGAAATACTAGTACCTAAACCATAATACCAGTCATTGTCTTTTCTACCTCCATGCTCAGGCTTTTTTTTCTCCAAGCTCAACAGCATCGTGCCATGTAAAGAAAAAAACACAAGCACGACACTAAAATCGTTTTCAGTCACTAATTATTCAAGGGCACTGTTCCGTTCGGCTCTGATCGAACTGAATTGAAATCTGGCAGATCTCGGCTCTCGTTCGGCTCCCGACCGTCGTATGAACGCATTGGAGATAATCTCCTGTTAATCCGTGGGAGGAGCAGTAATTTGACTCCGATAGAATGCTGCCGTGTGAACATAGCAATTATGGATATACACACTTTATGCATGTGATAAACTAATACAATTGTTACATGTAAATCCAAATAAACCTTGTTTGGTGCGTTTATACAACAGCATTTTATCAAAGCCCTATTGTTCGAGCCAGCAAAAATGGCCGGTTATACACTTTTTGGCTCGAGCCAAGTTTGGCTCCAATAAACCCTCGTGGATGAACTCTGATAGGATTGGGACCCAAATGTGTAAACGCATTGGGACCCAACAATCGGGTTTGAAATCGCACCAATGATTACTACACGTATGTTGCTGCACTAAGCGGACAACTGTAGATGAATGAATAGTAAAACCCATGATTTCAAGAATAAGAGCTATTCAACGAGGAAGTTCGGCAATAATCATTCGCTGTATCCTTGCTCATCCTCTTTGAGCTTGTTCAATTCGACTGGATAATACAAACAGTATACAAATGTCTAGAAAAATCTTGTATTTCAATATTAATTTCAATTGTTTTAATGCCTATCGACTGTGTCCCGGTAATAATTTGTTTGGAATATTGACCGCCGTTGGTTTCTCGATACTGAGTTTAGGATGGCGTTGGTACCAGTGTTTGTCATTGAACTCATTGAATTTGAGGGCTAAAATAATTAAACAAGTACAATTTATTATATATTTTTTTTCATCACGTAACTACAAAAGAACTAGAATTGTCCTGATGAAACAGTCGCCTTGAAATCGATCGAAATCGATCCACCCGTGTAAACACATTGGAGATAATCTCCTGTTAATCGGTAGGAGGTGCAGTTGTTCGGCTTCGATAGAATGCTGCCATGTAAACGTGGCACATGATATCATAAAGCTCAAGTAAAAATGTCAAGTTTTATTGATTAAGTGGTCAAAGGTATTGTCCTATACTTGGCAGAATTGGAGTACATGTATGTGTATACTGTGTACTATTCATCATTTGTACCCGTATGTACATTGTTCATGACTTGTTTACAGTTTAGTTTATTCATGCCAACTGTATACAGATACATGCAATTAAAATATTCTATTTAATTGTTGTAATATTATAACATTTCATTGGTAATTTGTGTCCTGTAGGGTGTCCTGTCATTGTGTAATTGTAGATAGACTCCAGTGATGGTCTCTATTGTCCAGATAGGAGAATTAGCTTATACGATACTACCTGTGCTTTGTGTCCTAGTTTTAGGTTATTGTAATGTGACCTAATTTTTGTGGGTGCCCTCGTTTGTTATTATTGTAAAATAATTTACTGCTGGGAAGTTGGACATTTTTGTTTTACAATAATAAATATAATTGTTTATTTGGCCTTTTTAGCGTGATCGCGAAAACTAGCGTGACCGCGAAAGATTTCTTGTAAAACAAAAAAGAAGCCCAGACTTTGCCAGTCTACTGGGAAGTTTCAGTGCTATCAGTTAAATAAAATGTATAATTATTATGACATCATTCTGAGTCTAGGTGCTTGTTTCAAAGTCATCAATGTCAATTTGTCAATGCTGGCAATGCAAGTAATAAAAACTATTGGCAGAGCTTCTGATCAGTGGGATGATTATGTCTAAATTATCTACAGACAAGCATGAATAAATTAAATATGATAGACTGAATAAGATTATAGGTCTAATTGACCTACTGACACTCATAGCTTGCAGTTCATTATTTGTAACGTTATTGCAGGTTATATTGTAAACTATGCACAAGGACATGTATACATTGCAGGAATATGCTCCACTAAGGTTCACATAATTGTATATACATATTTCAACTCATGTGATATTAGCAATAACATTTTTGTTCAGATTTGAGTGCATCTACATGTATAGAGCTGCAGCTAGTGAAATTTGTCAGTTTCATAATGTTAGATATTATTATACATGTATATGTTGCACTAAATAGTTTTTTGGGACATTCTGTTAAAATTTACATTTGCACTTGTTCTGTCACATAAAAAGTGTGTCATATTTATTTAATGTTTGTTTTCTTGTTTTCATTAAACTTGTCAACAATGTGCATATTAAACAGAAATTGAATCGCATCGCTAATCACAAACCATGCATTTGTGGCGCTACATGTAGTTGTGTAAAATTTATTTAGAATTTTGTTCTGTTTTCTCTCAATAGAATACATGATTACCGCAAAATGTATACAGGGTGACACTCCCCTCCACTATGCATTAAGGTTAATATGATTTTAACCATACATGATGAAGCTCACTCATGAATAGCCCACTATAGTACTCTAAATCAATTTTATCTCGCAAGAGGTTTTTTGTGAAGAAAATAAAATTTTTCATTCTCCACATACACTATTATATTATCTACCCTGGTAATTAGGAGCATTTTTGATGGTTAATATTAACAACTACTGTAATTAAATTTTGGTAAATCTTTCTCCCCAGGTAATCAGACTTTAAATTTGCTTATTTCGCTGACTGGAAAATGCGCTAAATTAAAACCTAGTGAATATGTAAAATTGAGCATAGAACACATTATCTAAATGATAAAACCGTGAATTTACAACCCACTTATTATCCCTAAAATGCTAAATCAGCGAAATTTAAACCCAGTGAAAAATAGTCATTTTAAAGTACTGTACGTCAAACTAAATGCAACTAAAAGCTATATTAATTGGTTTGAGTCGAGGACTCTGACTCAGTAGTTACATGGTTCGTAATAAAAAGCATACAGGGTACTTTGCTGTGCAGTAATGCTTGTTTGAACTGTTGCCAATTGTACTATTTATTAATGTTTCTTCAAATTATTTATTTTTCTCATACCTTTGGTTTGTTATACATCAGTGATGAGCAAAGGGTCTTGTGATTTCTTGAATCCAAGCCTCCCTTGTACATGTACGTAACAGGCAAAATCATTCACAACTACTTAATATAGAGCAAGTAAAGTAATCAGTTGTTTAAAATTTAATGAAAAAAATGATCACATCTTGTGTAAAAATTACTCCTCACACCAGAATTTGTTATGGTTGGCCATAATGTCATACCCGTAATTCTTTGCTGGAGAATCAAGATGGTGGGCTACTTAATACTGTCAAAAAGTTGAATATCCAGAGAATGAAAAGTGATATAAAAAAATTGCATTCTCCTAAATTTGTGGAGCTCTTTTATCTGGAACATTGTGCTGTTTGTCTGTATTTTCCATTCAAATTAACAGAGCACATTCCTTATTTGGAAATCTTGTCACAAATTATGGTAGGATCATCACATTATTAGTATATGGCTAAACTCCTTAGGTCATACAGCTCAAATAAATAATATCACAAACTTTTTTTTTTCCTTTTCAGAGAATAATAACCAAAGCAGATAAAAATAAAGATGGACACATGGACCTTTCTGAATTTGTGCAATATCTTGCTGAACATGAAAAAAACTTAAAATTACAATTCCGAAATGTTGACAAAGATCAGGACGGACATATTGATAAAAGAGAAGTGATGAGTGCATTAGAGGAATTAGGAATAACTGTTACAGATAGTCAAGTACATAAAATTATTCAAAGGTATAGTATACATTAATTTATATATTTGTAACAACCCTTTTGAATTTGTGTTACATTTGGATAAATAAGAGCTGCATAAAATATATGGCGTTTAGGGGTTTCACAAATGCATGCAAATACCATGCCATCATTCTGTAACCACTGGCCAGAAATAAAATAAAAAGGCTCTCAACAGTGCAAAGTGCTGCAGCGAGACCGGCATAGGCAATCGAAAAGGCAGAGAGTAGACGGCCAATTTGGGATTATAGCAGGCCATATGGCCGACGACCGGCTCTTATCGAAACCCCTGGCATTACTTAATGTCAAGTTTTATCTAATGTTAGTATTGAAAAAAGAAATAAAAAATAGTTAGTCTCAAAAATTTTATTCCGAGTTCCATGAAACTTTTTTAACAATGGTTATAGTTATACAAAACTTATTATTATACTATATACATGTACTGTATTAAAACTGCTCTGATTTTGCAAGTGACAACATTTTAAGAGTCCGCAAAAATCATGAAATTGTGTAGTTGTGAAAATTGCTTGAAATTTTGTTTTCATGAATGCCATAAAATCTTGAAAATTAGTAAAATTTCCCGCAGCAAAAATAGAATGATAGTACCAGTATATGTAGGTAATCATAGTCTTTGGTGATTACTCGATATAACCAGAAAATCTGAATGCACTGAATGCGAAAATATTTTTATCTTCTGAAGAACCTGAACTGTTTTCAGATATTACTTATACATTCTATTCAGATATTACTGGTACATTGTCAAGAATGTCTGGTTTTTGTGAATAATTACCAAAGACTACGATTACCTGTTATATAATGTATATTTATCCGTCTTTATCCGTATCAGCTTTCACAATTTGTTTTTGTTATACATGTACCCAGGAGGGTAGTACATTATATTGTTTTTACTTTTTATTTATGTTTTTTGCTACAAGTACCAAATTTGTCATTTGTGAATTACTCAAAGTGGAACACGACTGTGCAAAGATTTATTTTTGTTTCATTATTATCCAGTGACATGTGCATCAGAGTGATTCAAATCAGTTTGCATCTCATTTTTTTAAAAGAAACTTCACTATTGAACTCATGTTGGTGAAACATATTGCATGATTTACTGGATGATTGGTTATTTTATTGTATTATACCATAGACCCTCTAACAGAGGGTCTATGATTATACATTGTATTCAATGTCAAATTTAAAAAAAAGAAATATTGGCTTTTACTTTACTTTGGTCTATTTATTTATTTGTCAGTGGTATACCTTTTAATTTCTGTTTAATTTCTGTAACTGTATACCTGTTTTGGTGACTGGGTGTTTCCATGCTAAATGTTTCTAAACCACACTGACTGCCTATTTATCAAGTTACTGATTTATGATATTATAGAATTGATTACAATTTAATTATTCAGAGTGATTAATGACTTCTGGGCTCCATGCTCATTATGGAGAAACACCCAAATACATTTTTAGTAAATGCCACGTCACAACAACTGGTTTTACTAAACTGTAAAGTACCACTATTATGGATTAAGTGGCAGTGAGTAATATTCTGGATAAAAAAAAAAATGATGATTGCAGCTTTTACCGGTAGGAGGCTTTCAAGCTGTACTACATAAATAATAATCATCATTTATCTTTTGTTTACTTTATAAAGAGTCGCTACTGGATTTATATCTAGTGCGGTTTTCAATTTCCCAACGTAATTAAATTTAATTCATCAAATTGGTGGCACTGAATTTCAATTTACCTAATGCATGAATCTCATTAATGAAATATTTTGTTTGAATTAAAAGTAAAAAAAAAATGTTAGTTATGCTTTGGTGAAATATTTGATGATAGCTAGACAGAAAAAAATTGTCTGTGGCAATATAACACACTGCCACATACATGTGCATGTAGGTTAGGGGTGACTTGGCTCTCAATTACTCGTGAACAGTATTTGATATCTCTGTTTTTGCTACAGGGTAAAATAGGTTTTAGTCACGATGTCTAGTTAGTATTTTTTTTTTGCTAAATACCAATCTGCCTAGTCACTTTAATTGCAAATGTGGAGCATATAACATTAAGAAATTGATAAAAGGTAGCAAATTAATACATCTCCTGCTGAAAGCCTTCAAAATCATTTGGTGAAATATGTTACATAACAGACATGTTTAATACTGTAGGCAACATGCTGTTCTGATGTTTAACTCACCTCATGTGAGTGATGACATGTTTTTGAATGATTTTCTCTGAACAATTCTTGCTTTGAAATTCCACTTCAGCCGTTTACAGGGATATGATAGAATCTTATGTTTGTGGAGTATGGAAGTTATTTTCACGAGTGTTTCAGTATATCCTGCGGGTGCAGCATGGATGCACCACATTATGAGTAAAATGTCATTTCAACTGAAATTAATTCTAGCTGAAATAAAGTACAGTAGTCCTGTGCAATGTTAAGAATGATACAACACATGGCAAATACATAGTTTGTTTGTTTACATGAAATTCCATCGGACCACTACAGATGACTATGGCACTTTAAAAACCTAGAGAAATTCTAAAGTCAACAACATTATAGAAAAAATGTAGAGAAATAAATAAATATATTTCCTCATTTTGGTAGAAAACGTTTACATTTGCAATTTGTCGTAACTGCTAGTATTTAATCCAACCACAAGAGGGCGCTGTTCCCCAACCATGTTTGAGGTTGGCCAGGGAAGAGTGTCATTTGACAGAGTGTCATTTGAAAGATGGGGATTTCTCATGGTTTGACATTCTTGCCTGACTTGTTGCTGAAGGTACTTTTAATATTTGTGATGAATGTTTTCACAAGCTGATTCATGAAAAGTAAGTAAATTCAGTAGTGGACGAACCAATCTTTGCCTTGCACATGAAAGTTTTGTCTTTTATTCCCATTTTACAGCATGGAATTCCACAGTTTTCCTCCACGACAAATGACGTATGATATCCATCCATACTCATGTCATGAGAGGAGAGAATTCCTGCTGAATTATCCAGAGTGGCTGGTTGAAGCATGGCAACATGACACTATGCAACAAGTAAATCTGTGTGATTTAATTCTTTAATTTTGCTCTCTCTCTCTGATATCATTCTCCTGATATTTTCTTTGTTTCTTTCATCTAGTCACAGTACAATTACAATATACCTATCAAACTTGATCCACTCCCTGTATTGCCACCAAAACTTAAATTTATCTGTCTCTCCCAATTACATGCTTACCAAAATCATGTTTCAATGCTTTATGTCCAAGCATTGTGACTAATCTGCATATGTTTGGTATGTCACAGTTTTCATTCTATGTATCTATGGTAATATAAATCTGATTGATAAAATTAAGCACTGTGTCCAGAAGACCCTTTGGATAAAATCTGTGATCTCTCATACGGTAGTAGCACGCGTTCAATCTATGCAAATCTAACAATGTAGTTTTCCCTGTACAATTTTCCTAAGACCATCTTTCCTCCCAAATGCCATTACAAATCAAGTTTGTTTAGTGTACCCGTGTGTGTCATAATCCGATTAAACATCAAGATCAAGATTTTTTGTGAACAGGAGCTGCACTTTTTGTCATTTATTCGTATTTTCTAATCCATGTAATACTGAACTGAAATAACATTTGTAGTGCAAAAATGTGCATTCATAAGTGAAATGAGATGTTGAGGCTATGCATAGGTTAACTATGCCTAGGCAGTTGGAAAATAAATTTTCAAATTGGACTAAAATTCATTTCCAGCTTAATATCATATTTATTATATTAATAGTGCCAGTAGGAAATGCACATAAATCATAATTGCATTAATTGTGTGCTTTGTCATAAAATATGACTTATTTTGACCATAGACATATTTTCGTTTTATACATAAGCACATGTGAAAATAAAGTATGCATGCTTCTAATATAAATGTATTCCACACTCTGAGTCATATCACTATGTTTTTCACTCATTTAGTACCGCAAAGGGAATTTCAGCTCAGTATTATTAATTGGATTACAAAATGTAAATAAAATCCTGAATGATGTACAGTAGCTCAATGTGTTTCCAAACTTCATAATTACAAATTAGCAATAAAAACAAATAAAAAATAGTATTACTGGTATTGTTCATTTTTAAAAAATGTGTTGTGGAGATAAATTTCATTCGCAATTATTCACAATCAGGTATGCACCATATCAGTCACTTTGTTGATTGTATTTTACTAATATTCAGGTTTTTAGTCATTTCCCCCTATTATAAGTGTGGCATTTCTCAGGTTGACATGAATAAATGAAATATATTAATTATCACTGGCCATAAATTGTTGCTGCTATGTAATATACTAGAAATTCATGTCTTGTTTCTGTTTTGTTTCTTCTTTTTTCCCTAGTATGGATAAAGATGGTACATATAAAATTGACTGGCACGAATGGAGGGAATATTTACTTTTTCACCCTGGGTCAGAGTTGAAAGATATTTATAGGTACTGGAGGCATGCAACAGTAAGTAGACAATTAAAATCATTGTTAACTGTCACTACCATATTGTTCTGAACACCGAAACAACAACATTGCCAGCTAAGCTGCTGACTGGTTTGCTACGTGCGTCTTGAGATCGTTATATGATTAGGTCAAAGCATTCTTTTAAGGGTGCATCGTTTTACTAATGCACACTTTTTCTAGACTGTGTCAGTACATACATTTTGTTCTATTTATCATATAACAACTTATATGATGAAATAAATAAAAAGGTAATTGCATCATGATCTTCTATTTATTTATACTCAACGTGTTCAAATCCTTCACTGTTAGTATGACGTCTTCTGTTGAGTTTCGTTTTGACTAAATTAATTCTAATCTCGTAGCAATCTTGAGATGTACTTTATTAGCAAATCAATCAGCAACATTGTTGTTTTGGTATAATCACATGTCATTGATTTTCAACAACAAAAATTATTAAAAAAAATAAATGTCTGTTTGATATGAAACTTTGAATATACATGTATGTAATAAATAAATAGCAACCAAATTAATGAACAAATAAATTACCCATTTCTAATACCCCTGGTTCAGATTCATTTGTGTAGAAACATTAATATTGTGTCCAAAAAAATAAATTGCAAGGGTTAATCTGAAATATATTTCTGCATGTGGTTGTTGTACTGTAACACATGTGTTGTGACAGGAACATGCTCTATTGATGTTGATCGTTATTTGTAAAGTATTCCCTCAGAAGAGCATACAAATTTCAAGAAAAATTAATGTGACACTGTTCAACTCAATCGGGCTTGGCACTAGAAAAAAACTGAGGAGGTTGCGACACACTAACTTTCATTATTGGATTCCCTGGAATAGATGTTTCTCCCAAGTTCAATCATTATTGTCTGGTGCTTATTCCAGGGCCAACACCGCAAGGAACAATAGTGTGAAGTGTGGTTTAATTAAGAGAAAAAGGGTAGAGAATTACAGAGCGATGATAATTTGACAGGCTGAGATAAGAGTTACATTGTTTTCCTTCTGGGACTAAATTCATCAACTCTTCATTGTTGTACATTGATAATACATGTATGTGATATTTGATTCTCATTACAGTTTATAGATATAGGAGATGATGTGATCGTACCCGATGACTTCACAGAGCAAGAGTACACATCTGGGATGTGGTGGAGGCAATTAGTTGCTGGTGGCGCGGCAGGTGCAGTGTCAAGGACATGTACAGCGCCGCTGGATAGGTTGAAAGTTCTTTTACAGGTAAACTTAAGCATTCATATCGTCTGCCGCTGAACGGACGTCAAAGCGACTTCGTACTGCCTGAGTACATGCTTGGTTGTATTCTCATGATAACATAATTATTATTGTGCATCTTTTTCCTGTTTGTTATATTAATTTTTTAAGAGCTATCAGCCTGAAATTGCAAGGAAAAAAGGAAAAACATTTTGCAGTCAGTGACGGAAGGATTTGTAGTCCTATAGAGCTTCTGACCAAAGGAAAGTGTTCGAATGTGATGTTAATAATCTTGAATGTGTCAATGTTGGGGATTGAGTTCACCCTATATAAGGGAAATTTGAACTTGCGAACGAGTTGCAGACATGTTTGTAATGAATGTAAATACAGTGTATGGCTTTTTATATAATGGTGAATTCTAGTGGTGATAGATGTGCAATAATTAAACTGATTATAATTGTACACTCAGGTACATGCAAGCAAGAAAAACGATTTAGGTATTGTTACGGGTCTTCGACACATGATAAAAGAAGGGGGAATGAAGTCGTTATGGCGAGGGAATGGTATCAATGTTATCAAAATAGCTCCAGAAACTGCATTTAAATTTATGGCATACGAACAGGTAGGTTGTAAAAGCTATTGATCCTATTCATGCACGAAGCAGCTGTCATAATATTGGGGTACAACTGTGGTAATTTACTCGGGTAGTCTCATATGCTGACTATTTAAAAAGCCTGAATTACATTGGAATATAAGAAATATCCGAGAAGCTAAAAACAAAATGTGTCTACACTTCAGTGCAAGAACATCTAGCGATGAAATAAGACAAAATGATGTATGGTTATGATAACTCTACCTATCTCAAGCATTCCATTGTTTGGCTCCATGCCCAATTTTGAAAGTGAGTGTACGCTCAACTTGTATCTTCAGAAAGCTGAGACGCTCTATTAACAATGAATACAGGAAGACTACTTTTTGATGCGTCTTTCTTACAAGGTCATTGAGCATACGCTCAACTTGTATCTTCAGAAAGCTGAGACGCTCTATTAACAATGAATACAGGAAGACTACTTTTTGATGCGTCTTTCTTACAAGGTCATTGAGCATACGCTCAACTTGTATCTTCAGAAAGATGAGACGCTCTATTAACAATGAATACAGGAAGACTACTTTTTGATGCGTCTTTCTTACAAGGTCATTGGGGTTAAACTGCGTGAATATTTAATTAAACATGGTTGCTTTGTTTTAACAAACATCCTCTCAAGTGAATATGTGAACTTGTGTCAACTTCATGTTAAACAGAGCGTAGCTCTCATTACATTGCCAGCATTCCATGGTTTGTCCCCACGCTTACTTTTGAAAGTGAGCATACGCTCAACTCTTATCTTCGTGAAAACTGAGACGCTCAGTTACTGCGCTCAACTACCACATAGAGACTCATTTACAAACATGGAATGGCACACACTCTGTTATCCAGAATGTTGGCCAAATTGGGAAAACATTATTATACATGTGTTGTGATGTCTGTTGAAACTATATGCATTTTATTTTCAGTTTAAAAGATTACTTCATACGCCAGGAACGGACTTAAAAGCTTATGAAAGGTTTACAGCTGGTTCATTAGCTGGTGCGTTTGCACAGACGACAATCTACCCAATGGAGGTTAGTGTGTGTCAAGTCAATTATGATGACTTCTTGTTAATACTTCAGCTGCTGATGTTATATCATTCATATTGGTTATTTGTGGCTATCTGTGGAAAATGAAAGGGAATGCCATTCGACTGGCGTTCAACAGCATCTCGTACAGACACCATTTACATACATGGTATAGCGGTGCGCGTCTTAGCAACATAGAACGTGTGACTTAGCTTCACCCCGAGAATACATGTAACTGAAATCAAATTGAAATAGATCACAAGCTAATACTTGTAAGAAATATGTACTACAGTGCTGTCGTAATTATACGACATAACTGTCTCCGTGTGCCACCACTATTACTGTTGCTCTATTGGTAGTGTATGCATTTACGTAAACTACAGAAGTATTTCTATGGTCAAAATCAGTCATATTTTCATGGATACAACATATGTGATTTTTGGTTTATATGCACTTCTATTTGAGATGCTCTTGTAATAGAGAAAATATGGTATACTGATTCAATTTTATTGGTCTTCCACTCACAATATAGCTTTGAATTTGTATGATCTTTTGTACTATGAACAGCAGCCAATCGAGTGTATATTTTGATTATCAAATTAAAAATTCAACTAAAATACCAATGTTCATATATTAAAATGAACTTGCACACGTGTAGCAAACAGTTGGGTGTCATTGCAAGAGTAGCAGCCGTACGCATTTTTTACGTATATCGCATATAAAATTTGCCACAGTGAGACCATTGGTGACGATGTAACACAATTGTCATCATTGTCAAAAGTTCAAAAATTCTTCTTTGTGAGGTGAGGTGTGTTTATTCCGACATATCCTCAATACTGAGTTTTTACAGATTCTCCAATGCTAATTAGGTAGTAGTTTTTCTGCCTGGGTCGCTAATCTGGTTTTCTAATTGGAGAAAGTAGTCAATTCTTTGAAAGCTCACAATAACAATACATACATTGTTATATGTTTACCAACGCCTCTTATCAACATATGATCGTTCATTTTTCAGTCCATAAACTTTTTACTTTATGTATTTTTTAGGTGTTAAAAACAAGGTTAGCACTTCGGAAAACTGGCCAGTACAAAGGAATTGGTGACTGTGCAAGAAAAATATTTCGAGCTGAGGGACTAACAAGTTTTTATAGAGGTTATATACCAAATCTGCTTGGTATTATTCCATATGCTGGTATAGACTTAGCCGTTTATGAAGTAAGTTGCATACATTGGTTTATTTGCATTAATTGTATCTACGTTAGTTCATTCATAGACCTTAGAGAACATATTTTCTAAGGTCTATGGTTCATTGGGGTTCATAGATTCATTTGCATTCTCATTTGTTTAATGTTAATTTTCACTTATTGTCATTTGTAAACATTAGTTCATTTGCATTCATTGGTGTATATTAATTTGTATTCATTGTCTCATTTGCATACATTAATTTCTGTGCCCATCAAACCAGCGTGCAAAGTTATTGGTGCACACCTAATCCTAGAACATAGAGGGTAAGACTTTCTTAGGCCCTCACCTGTACTCTGCCCCTCCAGTGCCCTTTCGCTATTTTAATTGTATAGGCTCCTCAGGACACGTATAGTTATCTAGAAGGTCATATTAATTAACATTGGGGGCTGCAGTGTTAGGTTGTAGATTAGAGGGTGGATTGGCTTTAAGGAAGTCTTTCTACATAGAGAGAGGGTCGGCAAGGGGTATTTTTGTAAGCTGTAATAAATTGTTTTTTATTTTCGTAATATTGTAATTTAAATAAATAAAAAAACGTAAATCCGTAGACATGGGCAAAGTGTAAAATGTAATCAGATATTTTATTCGTTCGTAATTTGTACAAAGATATTATACTTGTAAGCATATAAAACATTTTCCAAATTAAATGTCGTAATTCGCTAGCAATTTCCAATTTTGAATTTACTTTATCTGTAAAGTGTAAAAACCTATTTTTTACTGTAAATGGAATTTTCATTTTATTTCCTGTAAAAACTAAATTGCCGTTTTTATTTCCTGTAACCCATACCAGCTATTCCTTCTTGTCCCCCCCCCCCCTCTAGAGAAGTTCTGATTTGACTTTCTTTTTTATCTACAGACATTGAGGAACTCTTGGATTGAACACCATCCAGATGAATCTGATCCAGGGGTGTTAGTATTACTACTATGTGGCACAACGTCCAGTACATGTGGACAGTTAGCCAGTTATCCACTAGCACTGATCAGGACAAGGCTACAAGCACAAGGTAGAACCATTTAAAAATTTTGTTATAATTTCAGCATGTGGCATATGCACTGGGTAAAAGCTTATACTAGGAGTATTGTCTATACCCAGTGCATTTGCTGCTAAATTTTATTATTATGATTTTGCCGTACCATTGTTAAAACTCACAACTTTTTAGGAAAATGGAGGAGGATATTTAAAGATGGTTTTGTACTAATAAAGTTATATTTGTCTCAACCGGACCAAGTGTTTACAAAAGTCTGTGTTAAGGTAGCGAGACTATTATTTGTGTTGAAAATTACGATTTTCACATTTATTTATTAATTGATGAAATGCACTATAAACTTTCATATGATAAAGTCAACATAACATAGAATGTCATGTAAGTTGGTTAAAATGTATATTTTCTGAAGGGAAGCAAGGCAGCCTCAGTAGTGTTTTCCAAAATCAACAATACAGGTTTAATCTGTGTGCCTATAAGTTTCAAAGATAAACTCAAGACAAAGCAATGTTAGCATGTGTTATCAGTAGCTATCTGACACACAATGAGTGTTTCCAAACATTCGAGTGGTTTGTCTCCGCCCCTGTTTGTTTCACAGATTAGTCATTTGCATATGAATGTGTCAGACACGAGGTCACACAGCC